TTTTTTTCTTGCTTCGGCAGCAGCTGGAGCAGGGGAAATGAGGTTTTTCGGTTACCCGGGGAGGAGGCGTTGCCGGCGGTGGGCGCCAACAAGGTCCCTGCGAGCCGTCTGGGGCTGCCAGCGTGCCACTGAGTCACAGCCAGCAGCCGCGCAAGCGGATGGGTTTTGCGCTAAATAAATAGCGCTCGGTGGGACTGGATGGCTCAGCAGGGGAATGTGGAAGGCAATTAAGGTGGTTTTTTTTGGCTTTTGTTTTTTGTTTTCTTCTATGCTATTTAACTAAATGATCTGCAAATTAATTCAGTGCTCGTAGAGGAAAAGGGGCTGTTTGTGGTGCCAGCAGTGCTGGGGGCTTTCCTGAGCCGCCCGGTCACGGCTCTCGTAAGGGTTTGCATTAAACCTCGATGGCTGTGGCCGAGTCCAGGGCTTTTTTCCTGGTGCGTTTCCAGACGGCATTGCCGTGTCGGGGCAGGATTTGACCCCTGCAATGAAGATGGGGGCTCCTCTGCCTGGAGCAAACGCTAGAGGGGATTGTGCCAGGCCAGGAGCTGCCGTTGCTCACCTCGAACCTCGTCAAGCCCGACCACTTATAGGCTCTGGTAATTGCTTGCGCAATCAGTAACTGCACAAGAAAATGCACTTCCAGAGATGCTCCGCTCCCGGCTGAACCCTTTGCAGCGCTGTAGCTCCGTGGCAGGTCGCTCTGCCTTGGGGATTGGAGTTGCTCCCCCTCCGCAGAGACTGCAGACAACCCAGAAAGGCTGGAGAGGAAGCGTGGCCGTGGCCGGTCCCATCACGTTTCTGCCTCTCTGTAAATGAGGGTGTTCGCTCAAGTTTTCTGCCAGAAACTAAAACTGGCTGTGGGCTTTGATGTAGCCTATCTTGGGGAAATAGGAAACCGCAGAAACGTGCGTGGTCAGCGTCTCACAAAGATCCTTACTGTGTTTTTTGTTAAACATGCAAAACGGGGGGCAGGGGGTGGGTGTGCATATTTTTTTTTTCTCTAAAAACCTTTCAAACTTGCAAGCCTTCCCGTGTCCTTGGCCATTCCGTCGCGTCCGGCTCTGCTTTGCGCGGGGCAAGGCCCTGGGCTTGCAAAATGACCCTGGCTCTTAATTAAGCAGTTTTCGGAGGCCGGCTCTGATGCTGGGTGGATGGCTGCCTCCGTCAGAGCTTCCCCACCTACGTGGTCCGGACCAGGCACACCACGTCCACCTGACAACTGGTGAACGTCTCGCGTCGAGGCCAGAGTTTGAGTGAATTTCCTGCTATTTAAGCTTTTTCTTCTCCCCAGCTTTCCCTCTGCCTTGTGTTGTATAATGAAACCAGGCACCCATTAAGGAACTTAACTCCCCTTTTCCTCCCCTCGAATCGGCGCTGCCGGAGTGCCAGGTACGTAATGCAAACCTCCCGGCGCGCAGCTCTGCCCTTAATGGGTGGTTTCCCCCGCGTGCAAAAGAGCTGGTGTGGTCTTAATGCCTGAGTCTAATCACCGCTGTGAAATATTAATTAATCTGGCCGCTGTTGAAGCTTTGCGCGCGCGCGCTGCGGTGTCAGAGTGGCGGCCGGCTGGGGGCAGTGAAGTGTAAATAACGGAGGGCCGAATCCGTTGCCGGTGTAAGCTGGCAGCGGGGCTGATTTATGTCCCACCGCTCACCACGGAGTTGTTAAAGCTGGATTTGATGCCTGCGTGCCTCGAGCTGTCGGCATTTGGAAGGGGGGAGATGGGAGGGAGCGTGTTTGGGCAAATCCAGGTGGGATTCAGATATGCTGGCACCAGCGTGGATTCGGCCTCTGGAGCAACTCCCATTTGGGGGGTCCCTGCACGGGATCGCGCGCGCGCTGCGGTGTCAGAGGGGCAGGCTCGGCTGGGCAGTGAAGTGTAAATAACGAAGGGCCGAATCCGTTGCCGGTGTAAGCTGGCAGCGGGGCTGATTTATGTCCCACCGCTCACCACGGAGTTGTTAAAGCTGGATTTGATGCCTGCGTGCCTCGAGCTGTCGGCATTTGGAAGGGGGGAGATGGGAGGGAGCGTGTTTGGGCAAATCCAGGTGGGATTCAGATATGCTGGCACCAGCGTGGATTCGGCCTCTGGAGCAACTCCCATTTGGGGGGTCCCTGCACGGGCTGGGGGGAGTCCCGGCACAGAGCTGCGCGCTGGGGCTCTGCGTGGAGCCGCTTCGCTCCCCCCGGCCGCGGTGTCTGCCCCGGTGAGCCCCGGCTGCGTCGGTGGAAGCGAGGTGAGAGCGGCACGTGGAGGAGTGCCAGGGGGAAGCTGCGAATTTAATTGCTGAGCTAAAAGGCTTTGTGCCGATGGCTCCGAGCGGGCTGCGGGTGACGTCTGGGAGAGCGTTTCCCTCTCCAGCATGCTCCTGTCCATCCCGCCCAGTGACATGAGAAATACGTCCTGGCAGCGGCAGCCTTGGCTCACCAGTCCTGGGCGTCTCTGCCCTGCCTTTGCTGTCGGTGCCTCGAAATATTTCGCTGTCCCTTCATGCCGGCATCAAGAGACGCGGCTCCCTGTGACCAGCGCTGGCTTGTGCTGCCCTTGGAGGTTTGGGTCTTCTGCAACGTCCTCGAAAGCATCTCTGCTTACAGATGAGCTGTCAGCTTTTCTAACACCCCCTTTGCAGATGCTGACTCTTACCGAAGGACACTTGGATGAGCAGTGATTAATGAGCGGGGAAGGGAACAAGCCGCCGCCGTGCAGCCCGAACTGTTCAGGAAGGTCAGGAACTATTAATTAACATCAGGACCTTGCTCCAAATTACGGAGCTGCGGGGGCGAGCTGGGTTCGGCCCCCTCCCCAGCTCTGCCTCCCCCACTAAAGTTGGTAGAGGTTTAACGCAACCACCCAGGGTCCCCCATCTTTTCATGGCTGCCCTTTTCCAACAGCTCTTCTTTGCACTGGGCTGATCTGAACTGCTCGATCCGGCTCCCCTCCCGGCTTGGGGGCTGCCGTTGCCTCCCCCTGCCAGGGCACGGAGCACCTTGCTGTCCTCGCCCCGTTCCTGGCACAGCATGCTGCGAGGAGGGCATTGGGCCGCGGTTTTAATTAGTGCCCAGTGCCTTTGGCTCTTAAACGCAATTAGAGAGAGATTTGTTGGCTTGCTTTGCAGCTCTGCTGGCCCGTGGGGTCGTGCTGATTTACATTGGGATCTATCCTGGCTCTGTGGGGGTGTGGAGGCAAATGGAGGCTGGCTGGTGCAGAAGCTGGGTTTTAATGTAGGTTTTCCTGCCTCTTAAATTGGTGGCAGAAGCTCAGAGGAGCACCTGAGCGGGGCTTTCCCTCGGGGGAGCTCCCAGCCACGCTTGCTTATGGCTCCAGGCTTTCCCCTGGGAACGGCTTTCGGGGAGGAGTGGGATCTGCAAGTTGTGCCCTACATCACTTCCATCCCTCGTGGCACCGAGTCCGTCCCTGCTCCCTGCCAGCACCACTTGTTTCTTGCCTTCCCTGATATTTTCCCCTCGCTTCACATGGGCTGGGCCTCCTTGCTCCATCCCTCTGCCCACCCTGGGGTGGGTGGAAAATAGGACTAATGGGTCTCTGGGCCAACTTGAATATTGCTCAGTGACATTTCCAATGCATAGCAGGGAGATTTCATCCTTTTCCTTGGGCAGGCTCACCCACCGGGTGCCAAGTGCTGAGGGAGTCAGAGGATGGGTCCAAAGGAGACTCTCACATCAGCTGCATAAATGAATTTTGCTAAGCAGATTAGGGAAAGGTCTCTGGTTCGGTGCGGGGCGCGGGGGAAGACCATGCTGGGCTGGCGGTATTTTCCAATGCATAGCAGGGAGATTTCATCCTTTTCCTTGGGCAGGCTCACCCACCGGGTGCCAAGTGCTGAGGGAGTCAGAGGATGGGTCCAAAGGAGACTCTCACATCAGCTGCATAAATGAATTTTGCTAAGCAGATTAGGGAAAGGTCTCTGGTTCGGTGCGGGGCGCGGGGGAAGACCATGCTGGGCTGGCGGTACACCCCCTACCTTCGGGATGGTGTTTTTGCTTGGGGTTAAGAGAGCGACCTTCATGGGATGTTAGGTTTAATGAGGGATTTTGCGTGCTTTAATTAAGATTTATTTGCAATCAGTTGGAGTGCCCTTATTAAGTAAAATCCAGGCCTCAAATAATATGGCCATAAGGTTTTCCAGCCGTGCTTATTGCCAGGATGCCATTAAAATGGGGGCAGGGGTGGGGATTAACGAGGAAAGGCTTAAGGTCAGAGCACTGGTGGGAGAGTGCATGGTCGTTTCAGGAGGTGAGTCCTGTTCTCAGCTGGCCGTACTCGATCCCAAAAACCCCAGTTACAGCTGGTACCAGTGAACCCCCCTCCTGGAAACGCGTGCAACGAGTTTATCCGAAAGCCTCGGGGCTCATGCCGGCGTTGGAGCAGCTAAGTGGGGGTTATGCTAGCAAGCCACAGTCGCTGGGACTGAAAGACTGTAATTATCCCCAATTAGATCGACTTTCTCGGAGCTGAGCTATCAAAGCAAAAGGCCCTTTTGGCTCGCTTTGCCCCCCGGCGAGAGCGCAGATGTGACCTGCCGCGGTGGAGAGCCTGATAAATGCCACTGGGTGGGTGCAAGACGGAGGTGACACACGTATCTGCGTGCTAGCTGCGGGAGCTGATGCTGCTCCGGGGTTTTCCACCTTACTCCCTCCATAGGGAGAGGGTCGAGTCACGTTTCTCCATGCCTCGATTTACCTGATCTTTAAGAAAATCCATGTCCTTGGTTCCCACAGCAGTGGGCTGCCAGCAGGAGGAGAGCGTGACGCACCGCGCGGGTCTGTGCTCGTGTGTCTGTCGCATCCCTGGATGCTGTTTCGGGGTCAGCTCCGACCTGCTGAGCCTTCCCCCTTGTTAGCGCTGCCCGCAAATGTGCGATGCTTCGTGTGCTGAACGGGAGAGCTTTGGGCTCAAGGGACCTTGAAAAACCGCCCCCGTCCCCCGCCTCCGGGGCCCTCCGAAATGCCCAACTTCCCCGGCCGCCCCCGCGTACCGGTGCAGACGCTGGCAGAGCAAAGCCAGCGCTGTTCCCAGCTGCCATCGGAGCCGCCTCGGTGACTCAGCAGCCGTGCTGAAAGCTCCCTTATTTATTTAAACGGCTGCTCCTGCTCGGCTGAGCATCCCCTGCAGTGATGCTGCCGCTGGGCCGGCCCCGGCCGCCGCTCGGCGAGGAGGAGAGCGATACCCGGCACCCCGAGCTCCCCGGTTTGCTCCGGACGCGATGGCTTTGACTACCTGGGCTCTCGGCCCTGCGCTGCGGCTCTGTGCCGCCGGCCCTGCCGGCTCCTGGGAGATGCTGCACGTGGCCGGAGCAGGTACCTTCTCCCCGCTTTGCTTTTCCTCGGGGTGCTGGGTAAGATCTCCTGGGAGGGGGAAGCCGCTCTGGCTGCCAGTGACCTTCAGTGTCGTCTTTCTATTTTTTAAATACCTTGTGCCAGCCTGGGCCGGAGGAATGTTGCGTTGCGGCTGGGGGGGTTTTGAGGGGGGGGGATGCCGCCGATCGGTTGCTCGGGCCTGCCTTGCTCGGAGCCGGAGCTGTGGCTTCGGGGTTGGTGCAAGGGCCCAAGGTGCACGGGGTCAGCGTGGTGGGTGCTAAAGGAAACCGGTGTCTGGAAGAAGAAATGTCTGTCTGAGGCCCTTGTCGGGTAGCCTGGCTGGGGGGGGTTGTCGCTAGCCCCAGCGTTAGGGTTTGGTGCTGTGAGGGTCTGGGTGGGTCCCATATAGACCAAGCACAGGGCTGATTTCAGCCCTGGCATCAGGACCAGACTTGGGTTTGTTGCTCTCTGGAGAGCCCTTGGCGGGGGGGGGAAATAAAACAAGGGGAAAAAATCTTCCTCTTTCCTCAAGGTCTGTGTCATTTTTTTACTCTGCTTTTTTAAGCATTTCTGGTCTCCCTGTCTGTGCCTGTGCATGTCCAGGCTGGGCAAAACCGAGAGAAGGCAGGGGTTGGAGGAAGGAAACTTTCTCTTGGTTTCATGCAAGCAGAGTAAGCGAGACCCTTTCAGTGCCCTGCTGCAGGGAGCTCAGCCCTCTTACTAGACATCAGAGAGTCTCATCTGGAGGCAGTGCTCTGTAGGAAGCCCTGTCCTGCTGGGCCATGGTGGGATCCTGCCCACCGGTGGCCCGACGTGGCTTTGGGTTGAGCAACGTTCCTGCTTTCCTTGTCTGGACTGTGTTTGGCCTCCCGCACCGTGGGACCGACGGGTCACCCAGGTCCCCTCTCCTGGCAGGCGCCTCGGGTCTTTGTCTCTCTCCCGCTGCTGCTTTCTTTAGGTGAGGCCTTAAAAATCTCCTACTTCTGGAAAAAGAGGTCGTGTTAGGTGAGGGGGAAGGCATTAGATTTAATTATGCAATTATTATTGATGGGATCCGTGCTGTGTCTGCTCTTCAGCTTCATTCATCAGGATGAGGGTGGTCGATTGGGAACGCGGCTGGGCTCTTTGCTCCTCTCCCAGGGCTAGGAATGTGCGTTAATCCTGAAAATGCTCTAAAGTCACATTTCTGGAGGTGAGATAATTACTGAGGAGGCTGCGGGAGGTGGAGGGGACCTGGCTCCTTGGCTCATGGGATCGCTTACGGGGAAACTCTCCAGCTATTTTGCAGGGAGAGCTCGTGGCCCGTGCTGAGATGCCGGCAGGGACGCATGGCCCGGCGAGGTGAGATAAGTCACACTGCCTCGGCCATCCCGGGCGAAGGGAATTTATTAAGAGGATTCAGGAGATCTTCAGACGCTCGTTTGTGTGAATGGCAAGCGAGAATTTATTAAGAGGGCAGATTAAAGGTACTTTGGAAAAAGAGCAAAATCGATCAAAGGCAGCTGAGAAAGGAGGAGGGAGAGCAGCAGATAAGAGTCTTCGAAATCAAATACTGGATAGTGGGAAGGTGCGGAGGGGTTGGCAGGGAGAGCACGAGAGGTGGAAGGAGCTCTTTGCCACCGCAGCGTTGCTGGCAGCACCGGGCCTGGGGACCCCGAAGGGCACCCCGAAGCAAGCGGCAGCCTCCCCAACGCGAGCGCCCGCCGTCGGAGGCGACGCGCTCAGGAAGCGAGCGAGCACATTGCAGGAAGCGAGCGGTGCCAGCGCCGGGAGCTGGCACGAGCAGGCGTGAGCTCATGTGTTCCAGCGGGAGCGGTCGCCGGCTCCCACCGGCGCAGCCTTTGTCCCCCCAGCTTCTGCTTCTTGGCGGCAGTTGCCAAAAAGCAGCCCCGAATTACTCACGCTTCCCCGGGCTTGCAAAGGCCGGTGCTTTGGGGTGGTTGACACCAGTCTCCTCTGCGGGGTGCAGCATCCGAGTAACGCCAGGTCCCGGGGAAAAAATGCATTGTGCTGGAGCAGGGGGATCCTGGTGTGCAAAGCCCTCGGAGCGGCGCTGGGGAGGGTAGCGCGTTCAGCAATCTCTTTTTTTTTCTTTTCCTTTTTTTTCTTCCCCCCCCCCCCTTTTTTTTATAAAAAAAAGGGGGGGGGGGGAAGAAAAAAAAGGAAAAGAAAAAAATTTTTTTTAAAAAAAATTTTTTTCTTTTCCTTTTTTTTCTTCCCCCCCCCCCCTTTTTTTTATAAAAAAAAGGGGGGGGGGGGAAGAAAAAAAAGGAAAAGAAAAAAATTTTTTTTAAAAAAAATTTTTTTCTTTTCCTTTTTTTTCTTCCCCCCCCCCCCTTTTTTTTATAAAAAAAAGGGGGGGGGGGGAAGAAAAAAAAGGAAAAGAAAAAAATTTTTTTTAAAAAAAATTTTTTTCTTTTCCTTTTTTTTCTTCCCCCCCCCCCCTTTTTTAAATAAACAAACTCTGCAGATACTCATCTGCGGCCGGGAGGCAGGGCAGTGCTGGTACAGCTTTACGCAGGGGGATGTATCGGGGTGGCGGTGCCCACGGATGCTGAACTCTCTGGTGCGTGTGGAAGGACGATGGATGCTCGAGAGCCCGCCTGGACCGCCGGCCGTCCCCGAGCCGAAGATAGGGGGATCCCTGGCTGCTGCGGAGGGTGCGCTGCGGCCCTGAGAAACAGGATATGGCACAGGGAGAAATATCCAGGTTGCAAACGATCCCTTCCTCCCTCGGCAGCTCCCCAAAAGCGGAGCAGGGGATCGCAGCCGCGTTTGGGATATTTGGCGGCTGGGGCTAATTGCTTTGCTCTGAGTTGGGAGGAGGCTGATGCCCGCTGTTCACTGGCCTGCGGAGTCGCTGCTGCGAGCGGTTTTGGCCCTCGGAAAGGCTGCGTGGGGCACGGCTTGTGCATCAGGGACAAGCTGCTGCCATGTCTGAGACCCCTCAAAAAGAGGGGCTGGGTATGGTTGTGTCACTGTCCTGCGAAACACAGGTCACTTGGTGCCCCTTGGTGCCCCCCTCGGGGGAGAGGGACCGCGGTCCGGCAGCCCAAAGGTAGGGGGGCAATCAAAGGTGTTTGGTGTTTCTCAACAGCTCAGCTTTGGAGCTGCAAACAGGAAGAGGCATTTTCCTTTCATAGCCTTCGTAAGATGCTCTCTCTTCTTTTTCTGTCTTGCTGTCTCCAGCAGCCTGTGCTCTCTTTATCGCTGCTGGCTCCGTGGGGAGCGTGGGGCAGGGCGTGAGTAGTGCGTCCTCGGGTGAGTGGTTGGAGGAAAGAGCTCTTGGTCTGAGGACTTGCAAAAGAGGATCTTGCGAAATAGAGAGGCACAGGTTTAGGGGAACTTCAGACATCTTGGTCTCTGGGGGCTGCTTTCTTGGGTGAGAAAAGCAGATAACCCTGCTATTTGTCCTACGTCAAATGATGCTGGTCACCAGCCAATTCCCTGCCTCTCAGCTGCAGTTTTCTTCCCTTGTTTTTTCTGGCTGCAAAACTCTGGGATGTCGTCAGCTTGGTGCCCTGTCCTCTTCCCGGGCTTCCCTACTGAATCCGAGGATATGTTTTCCACCAAAGGCACCTCCACACAGGGGTTTGCCCTGGAGCTGAGGATTTTGTCCCTGCTGACAGGCTCTGTCTCCTCTTTTCCAGGTGTGTGCGGCTGCTGCGGCGCCCTGCGTCCCCGCTACAAAAGGCTTGTCGACAACATCTTCCCTGAGGACCCAGAGGTAAACGAGGCGCTGCTTCACGCGCCCAAGCTCCGGTGCTTCACACACCGAAGCTCTGGTGCTCGGGTTGCAGGGACGCGGTGTGACCCACCCAGAAACAGCTCCTGGGAGGCGGGCGATGCTTTGACTCCGTAAGACCATGCCTGGAGGGTTGGATTTTCCTTTAAAGCCTGTTTGTGAGCAGAAATACGGAAGCAGCTCCTCCAGCCACATTGGCCTGGAGGGACAGGCTTCCTTTCCCAAAGGTGCCGGGCAGATGCACCATCCAAGGACGGATGGATGGGAGGATGGGGGATGGACCTGAAGGCGTACGTCCTTCTCTTTGCAGGATAAGGAAAGCAGCTTCTAAGAGTGGGGGTCTCTTGGGGCCTCAGCCAGGCTTTCGAGCTCAAAAGCTGCTTATGCTTCCAGGATGCGGGGAAGCTGGTGCCCTGCTTGGTGCCTTGCCGAATTGGAGATGGGGGATGCCCTGCCAGCTGCGCCTGGAGCATCCCAAATCTGGCCTCTTTGTCTCCTTTTCACAGCCAAGAGGCGAAGGCAGTGGAAGAGGAGCTCCCGGCTGGGGGTAGCGGGGCTGGGATTACCCGGGGAGGTGGTGAGCGCCTGTTTTGTCATGGCACTGGCAGCAAAGCTGAACAAGAGAGGAGGCTGCTGCCGAGCCATGCGGAGAGGAGGAAGCACTGCAGTTTTGCACGCTGCGGGGAATTGGGGCTGGCAGCTCGGCACACTTGTGTCGTTTGGCCTCAGCAGCCTGGAGGTGTTGATGTCCCTGTCTGCCCCTTGGTGCCGGGGCATTGCTAGGGGCTGGCAAACGGTTCTCGTTGTATTTACAGTGTGGGGTGCTCGATGGAGACTTGCACTGGGGTCACCCACGGCTGTGGTGCATCAAAGAGCCCTCAGCTGAGGCTAAATGCAATCCTCATTTGCCTTCCCTGGTGTACAAGGTGTGGGGAAGTGCTGAGACGGGACTGGCGTGCTCCAGACCCCTGGCATCGCTGCCAAGGTTTGCTGCAGAGATGCTCCTGATGTTTGCTGGGTCTGGGCGTGAGGCTGTGACCCCCTGCGCTGCTCTCTTTCAGGATGGGCTGGTGAAGACCAACATGGAGAAGCTGACATTTTATGCCCTGTCTGCCCCGGAGAAGCTGGATCGCATCGGTGCCTACCTCTCCGAGCGGCTCATCCGAGACGTAAGCCGGCACCGATACGGGTAAGCGCTGTGAGGCTGTTTCAGCCACCCCAGTGACTGGCATAACGATGGGCCACTAGATAGTAGAGGGGGCTCAGGCAAGGGGGAGGATGTGTGGGGTATGCAGCTCCTGCGTGCTCCGTGGTGTCCTGAAGCTACGAGCACGCTGCAGAGAGACCTGAGCATGTTCTGCCTCCGAAAGTGAGACACGGGAGCACGCAGCAATGTGCATACTCCTTGCAAAGTTGCAAGGGACCAGGCAAGCTGGGAGCCATGTAGTGTTTCCCTGGCATCGTGCTGCCCGTGCCTGAGGAGTCTGCGTGCGTATGGTGTTTGTCCCCAGCAGCAAGACTGCTATCAACTCTCTGGGCCATCATCAGGAGCCTGTGGCACCCTCCTGGCCTTTAAAAGCCCACGGTGGCTCTTCCAGAGCCAGATGGAAGTCTGGCTAGGTGTGGGCAAGCAGCTAAACAGGGTGGCCCTGGCTGCAGCTTTCTGGGGGTTATTCAGGACAAGCTTGGGTGTGTTGCACCCCATGCACATCTCTATTGAGCTATGGTGATGTGGCACAAGTGGGAGTGAGGATGAGGGGCAGCGTGCTGACGCTTTTCCAGAGAGCACGTGATGGGGATGCCTTGGGCTGGATGGGGATTGCTGTGTTTGCTCTGTCCGACTCACCTGCGTGGTCCTGGCTGGGCCCCGTTCCCTTCGTCTTCCCTCCCCGCATTGCTTCCAGCAAGGCTTTGCCGTGTTTACTGCAAAGAGAGCAGCGCCCGGCCTGGAAATAGCTGACTGCCCTGATTAGAAATGCTGGGGGAGCACGGGAGGGCTCCTTCCCTTTGAAATAGCTCCTGGATTGATTCTTGTTGTCTCCTGAACAAAGCCGTGGCAGACAAACACAGCTCAGCTTCGTGGTGCGAACTTCAGCCTGCCTTTTATCCTGGGGGAAGAGAAGCCAGCAGCCCGCCTAAGAAGTGTTAGAGTTGGAAAACCTTCAAAGCCTCGTCTGCATCACCCGTCATCGGGAGTGACAGGACATTCAAAGCTCTGCCTGATGTTTTGTGGTTAAGCGGCTGTTAACAGGCTCTGCTTGCGATGTTGGGAAAAGAAAGGCTTTCAAAGATTTTTGACATCTAATGACAAGCCTCGGTGGGTGAAGGGGGGAATACATTCCTTCCTCCGCCGCCTGTGCGTATAGGCACGTAATTGGGTTGGAGCACTAGCTAATTTTCAAAGTCTAACTTTGAAATGCCTGAAATGGGTTTGGATCAACCTTTCGTTTGTAGGTCGGTGTTGGCTGGAGCAGCAGGGCTTGCCCCGCTGCAGACACCGCAGCCGGGCTTTGAAAGAGCAGCCGAGCACGTGGGTGCCTCTCCTGCGCGTAAGATGAAGGTAGCCTTGATTTCAGGCCCGTTGGGTGTCATCTTTTTGTTAACTTTATTGCTAAAAGGGGAAAGTGTTCTTGTTTGAGTTTGCAGCAATGCAACCCACCATCTGTAAGAGGATGGTTGGGGTAGGTCAGAGGTGACAACTCCACAAGTGTCCCTTTTCCCTCTTGGTAGCCTGTGTCCAGTTGTCCCCAAAAGACAATTGCTGTTGCAATAATATTGGGCACAGAATGTTGTTTTCAGCCTTGTTTCCTACGAGAAAGGAGCTTGATGCTTCATGCTGGTCGTCAGTCACCTCTTCATACCTTTTTTTCCCTCTGGGCCAGTTTTAACCCAGTTTGACAGATGGGTAGGAGCCTCACAGATCCAGGAATAGCTGGCTGCTTATTTTCACAGTATCTGGAAGAGCTGTAATGGTGTCTGAAGGACAGGCTGCAGTATGAGCTCAACCATGCTACAAGGCACCAGAGAATCTACTCAAGACCGGAGCCAGATTTCAACAGTTCTGGGGCCTCAGGAGAAGGGATCGGTCTTGCTGTGTTTTACCAGCTGGAACCTGGAAGTCCAGGGTTTATCAGACACCTCCCTTTCCCTGAGAGGGCAGTTTGCCTCCCCAGCTGCCCTTTAATGCGCAGGCAGGGCTGGCGCAAGTAGATGGGCAGCTCCTGCCCGCCTCGCTGCTGGCGAGCTCGGTGCTTTCGGGTTTCCTTCTTGCAGCACAAGCTGGTGGCTGCTGCATGCCACCCAGGCTGCAAATCCAGCCGGGCAAGGAGCCGGCTCGAAAAATGGAGGTTAAAGGAGGAATTGTGCCCGCTATAAAGAGATCTGTGCTTGCCACCTCCTGCTTTCTTGGCCGTGGCAGATCTGGGCTTGATGTGAGCTGCCATGGTACAAAGATTCACAGCTGCACAGAGAGCAGGAGTCAAAGGGAGGTGGTAAGGAGCTGTAAAGTTTGTTTTTACTCCCAGTGTCCTGGTACCGGGTCCCTGTCAGATGTTTGGGTACCTCAGAGGTCCTGCAAGAAGAGCTGGAGCTGTGAGACTCGGTGCAGTCACCGTTTGGGTTTTTTCTGTGTTTTGGGCAACTCCAGCTGGAATAAATGTCTGCTCAGAGCGGTCAGAGGCTGGGGTTTGCTTCTTCGCTGGGCTTTACACACACAGCGGGCGACCAGCAACTGGAGGTCAGCGTGGTCATTGCACAAGCAGCCCATCCAGGGGCTCCAGCCACCGCGTTGGTAATGAACCGGACTCTGTTGGTGCAGAAAGCATCGCAGGACCAGCCTGCAAACAGGCTTCGTCAGAGCCACGTCGAGCAACTGGTCCAATTTGTCTTGGAAACGCGAAGCAACACCTGAGAAATTCTGCAATTGCAGTATGCGCATCTGGCCACCTCTGTAACGGGCACCTGATCGAGATTCATCGCTGAGCACGAGGTCTTCCAGCTTCCTCTCAGAGGCAGGAGCACTGCAGGACTGGTTTAATAAATAGCCTGGAAGATGCGCCATAGCAGCTTGCAGCAAAGCCGGCTGCCAGAGGGTGGTCTGTGGGTGAGCTCAGCCTGGTCGGGAGGGATGGTGAAGGGATGTGCTGTGCTCAGGGAGGCTCCCTGCGTGGCCCAAGGACCTGTCGCGGATGCGTCCCGTCTTGCTGCTGTATTTGAACCATGTTCTGGGCTTCCCCCGTCCCCGTTCAGCACGCGGAGCCAAGACTGAGTGATTGAGCCCCATCCCCGGAGGAGGGACGGGGACCAAAGTAATCCTGGTGTGGGCAATGCTGCGTCCTGGTCTGTGCACTGCTGGAGGAAACCCTGCTCACCCCGGGAACTTCTGGGGAGATGTGAATATGCTCTGCAGGGTTGCTCTATTGTGTATTTAAGCACAGCTTTTCTGGAGCACAGCAGTCTAATTCTGCGTTCTCGTCCTGTCCCTCCTCCCTGGCCAGGATCAGCTCGGGCTGTGACAAAGGCTGCGTTTGACACTGAGCCCACCCTGTACGAAGCCCAGCGCTCCCTCACGGGATATAAAGACCAGTTCAGGGCAAGGGAAGCCCACGAGCAGCGTGGGGGGAGATGCAAGGTGTTTGCTGGCAGGCTTGGTCCTGGGGCAGCTGGGTCTTCGCTAGGAGGAACGGTGCTGGGAGCAGCCAACACCGTCTAAAAATATCCCAAGGGTATTTTGGGTGTAAAATTTTTCTCCTTGGGTTGGCCAGGGCAGGAGGTTGCTGTTTTGCTGGTGGGCACCCAGGCGGTTTGGGAGAGGGGAGGAGGAGGAGGGATGGCCGCGGGCCCGTGCTGCTGTCGGGGAGTGACCCTGGCCTCTGCCTGCTCCCAGGTATGTGTGCATTGCCATGGAGGCCCTAGACCAGCTCCTCATGGCCTGCCACTGCCAGAGCATCAACCTCTTCGTGGAGAGCTTCCTGAAGATGGTGGCAAAGCTGCTGGAGTCGGAGAAGCCCAACCTGCAGATCCTGGGGACCAACTCGGTGAGTAGGAGTGCAGCGGGAGGTGGCAGCACCCTGCTGACCCTGTCCTTGGCTTTCCACCCTGCCTGTCAGCCCCACACCTCTGCACAGTGCCAGGGCAGGAAACCTCGCTGGGAAAGGATGGGGAGCGGCTGCAGGGGAGGATTTATGGTGTCCCCTCTCATGTGTCCTGCCACGCATGAGGTTTCTGAGAGCCCAGCGGTGCTGCCCGTGCGCTGTCCCTGCTGTTTGACTTGTTGGTGACTTGTCCGTCACCAGTCGCTGGTCTCTGATCTCTGCTGCCGTGCCTTCCTTCTCTTGAATTCAGCTTCTCCTAAACGAGCCCGAGGACACAGGGACTGTCAGCGATTTCAGACAATAGACCAACTTAGGAGGTGATCCCCATGGATTTTGGGAGCTCTTTGTGCTCAGAAAAGGGCTGGCTTAAACAGAGCTGCTGCTTGCAATAAATGGCTGAGCTGGACTGGGGACGTGTCCGTCACAGACATAAAATGAGGGGAAAGGAGAAGCAGGGATGAACAAAGGTGATGTCCTCCCAGCATCCGAACGGCTGATCCTGGCTGGCAGCCAGCAGCCACTTGTGCATGGCCTTTCTGCTGGTTTTTACTGGGAACACTGGGGGTACCTGACACCTGGGCTTGTGAGGGCTCTTGCCAGTGCCCGGTAGCTTGGCTTGGACAAGCAGCATCTGTCCTTGCTGCTTTTTAAGAGGGGGTTTAGGTGGAGCTGATCATCCTGTGGGCAGGAGGGTGGACTGGGTAGATGCTCTCTCGAGTGCCTGGGAAACGCGTAAGACAGCTCAGCCCTAAGCTTTAATTCTCTGCCATGTGTGATGGGGAGAGGGACGGTATTAATGTTTCTGCTGACGCCTCCCGGACTGCGCCCCCTGATGCTTCTCTCCTCCAGGAGCTGGCACGGTCCTGGACGCGGGGTTGTAAATGCCTCCACTGAGGCAGGGGCAGCTGAGCGGAGACCTTTCTCGCCCCCATTCTCCCTCGCAACTAATCGCTCCCAGCTGAAAGCAGTGTGAGCTGCCCATCAGCAAACCTATTAATCCCACAGCCCTTGAAGAAGCGGGAGGATTGATCCCTCGGCTGAAACCCACTGCCAACAGCAGCTTACCGTGGCGTTTCAGTGCGGTGATGCCACCGTAAGCCCTGGGTATGCTGCAGGGGCTGCCTGGGAAAGCCCCTTGCAATGGGAGCAGGATCTCTGGGCGGCACCCACATCCCTCTGCCCAAGGGCGGCCCAAGCTCCGTGGGAGACCGGAGAGGTGCCGTTTGCTGTCCAAACCTCTTGAGATGTGCCGGAGCTGCCTGGATCCGTCCCAGTGGCAAGCAGCTGGGTCTCTTGCTAAGAAAACATCCTATGTTGCAGTGCAGCCCTGCCTGCAAACGCATGCAATATCCCCTTAGAATCATAGAATCGTAGAATCATTGAGGTTGGAAAAGACCTCTAAGATCATCGAGTCCAACCGTCGACCCAACACCCCCATG